GGGGGGGGGGGGGGCAGGCACACGCTGTCCGCGAGTGCTAATCTCGCGCGTGAGGCGCCGTGACGGCGCGCCGCCGGATGCGCTCGGGTGAGGCCGGGAGCTCATCATCGCCGGTCGCCCGAATCGGGTGATTATTCACTCGGCGGCGCGCGTAGGCAGCACGTTCCATTGACTGCTTGCGCAATGAGCGGCTCGCGAGACTCGAAGCCTGTAGGTGGCGATGCGGGCAATGCAGGTGGCGATGCGGGCAAGTGGCGAGCAGGTGGTGTGCGTTATGAGAGGTTTGTTGAACTTGTTGGAGCAGATGCGGGTGGAATATATTATAGAAAATAAATGCTGAGCTTCTTCGTTATGCTTCGACGTTATTCTGGTTGTTAGTGATTTGATGTGCTCAACTCGTGTAGCACGAAGATCGGTTATGTCTTTTAGATGTTTCGAACTTGTTCATTTGTGTTCTCATACTCTGTAACTTGTTTCGTTGTCCAGGATTTTTATTTTCCACGATTGTAGTTTGCAATGTGGAATTTGGAATGTGATCTGTAGGGTCCGGGTTTCAATGCAAATTCATGTTTTCCCTTTGTAGTCCGAAAGTATTCTCACTCTGTACGAGCAAAAACGTCTATTTTCCAAATATTTAAATGTGAGTTTTTTTACACGTCATGCGTATTTTGCCAGTTTTAACTGTGTTTAATTATTTTACTGTATTTAATTTAAAACGTTTAATTTGAATTTCTATGTGTGTGGTTCATTGTGTCTGATATAAACATCCTGCATCTAAATTATGTGTGATACTTCACGGGAAAAATGACAATCGTTTCCAAAAACACGTGCCGAAGAGTCCATCTTCAAAATCGGTAAGGCAGATGAAATTTGACTTAAATTCCCCAAAGTCACATAGTTTGTTCCACAAATATGAGCAAAACAGGAATAGGAAGCAAAGCAAGATATTTCATTTTGTGGTTTTGCTGCTGAGGGATCCTCAGAATTGTGTTCAATGTGGTTATAACGCTAATTGCTAAATTATTTAGCAGCAGTCATTCCATTGTGGAAACTAAATAAAACTACGTACTATTATTACTCTCCGAAATAACTTTGAAAAGTATAGGAAGAATGAAGTTCCGAATGAATGTACTGTGTGTAAAAATTATGAAAAATATTATGATGGGCTAATAAAGGTAAGGGCTTATTTTAGAAGTTTTTACTGCATTAATACGTATTATTGTCATGGTTATTAGTACATTTCAATCCCCTCCCTAGTGATATATCAGGAAAATACCTTTCTTTCCTATACGTGTTGCAAATAGTACATTCTGTGCTGTTTAATTAACAATAGATTGCAAATTGTACTTTGAATAATACGATTTGAAACACGTGAACAATTAATTGAAAACACAACAATTGAAAACAATAGAGAATACGGGTAGAAGAGGGGAAGAGCAATTTTTTTCTGTCCTGGAAGTAATATAATGTAAAGTTATACTTATGAACTTTTTCGTACACATTTTACAAATTCTTTCGTTGTAGAAATGAGGTATTTACAGCACTGTCTTAATTGTAGTTGCAAAACCGATTTTCGATCAGGCGTCCTTTAGCTACCTCACCTTACCCGACCGACTGACAGAGTAGGTCACTGTAAGCCTGTTTTCTTTATTACTGTGATATGATCGCATTCCATGTGAAGTTTATGTCACTCTTTTCGGTTTTAAAACGCATTGCCCTTTTTCAACCGATTAGTGGTTGTAATGGTGGTTTCTACGGCACGCTGCCCCCACAAGAGCCTTTTTATTGCCGGCTGTAAGATGTCGTTCCGTATTGGACTCGGGTATTTGGGTTAGCGTTTAGTACGTCTGATCGCTCGCTCTGAAACTCGTGGGTGCAATTAAACCAAGGTGATAACGTCTCGCTCAGTGTTCTTATGTTTTTGGTTGGTTGAACAATCGGGTCGTGCGTTCGAGGGAAGTGAACATAAATTGTTAGGTCTTGCACCGTTGTGAATTCAGTTCAGTTCTCTTTCGCTTATGTTTTACGCTGGTCTCAGAAGTTGACGAGGGAACCGCCCCACATTGCCTGTTCATGAACAGGCTTGTGTACATAACTCATAATGAGAGTTCATTGAAATCTCAAGTGAATGACGTGAACTATTTATAAAGTTAAATTAGAAATTAAAACAGTTCATTGAAATCTAACTAAATGACGTAAACTATTTATAAAGTTAAAATAGAATCGCAATGAAAAAATATCATTATTAAACCCTATGTATTGGAGTTATTTGGAATAAAGTCCACAACAGTTCCAAAACAATATCATATTAGGTAGATTTAAGTTAATTCAAATTTATATGGCATCAATAAGTAAGGAGATTCTGTCAGCATAAGTATTTGCTGTGAGATGAAACGGTCATATTACGGGGCATTACTTTTGTTTATTAATTTTAATATGAAACAGCTACTTTACTATTATTTTTATACCTTCGTTGCGATCTTTATACAGTAAAACTTGCTCAACTCTACATGTTTATGACGCGGCAATCTCGCAAGTGTAAATTTCGCGTCAGTATTGAACAATTCCTTCTGAGAAGTGGGGACGTGACTTCGACAACGGAACATCGATGTTAATAATACAGCGACCCAAAACCATCGATATTTGAAGAGTTTTGTAACCTCCAATTTTTAATATTCGCACAGAGCACACAATGACCTCTTTTTAATTTAATCCGATAAGCATGATTTAACTGATAAAATGTTTAAAAAATACTAAGAATAATTTAAAAAACAAACAGAAAAACAAAAAACGAAAGAAAAAATACGAGCATTCAAGTTTATCTCGAGTGGATCATACATTTTAATTCTCATACATAAACTCAGTAGTATAAGTTATTTCACATTATTTTTTTACAAAATGGAGATTACAAACTTTATTCGTTCACAAACAAAATATAGAAAACTTAAGAATTGCTGACACAAAACGTCTATGTTTCTAAAAATGATATGGACGTTTTGAAAACGTCGACACTGATGCCGCAAAGCGTCTCCGTGGGTGGCGCGTGGGGTCGCCAGCGCGGCCTACAAGCAGCCTGTTGTGCTGCGCCGCGCCGCGCCGCACCGCTCCGCTGTGCGTAAGCTGACCCGGCGCGCGTGTGCTCTTGTTTCAGAACGGGACGCCGCTCTGGGAAGACCTGGTGGCCAAGGCGACGAAGCTACACACCTGCCTCAGGTACGAGACGCACGCATACGCACGCACGCGCGTGCACTGTTTCCCTCCCCCTCCCCCCTCCCCACGCCGCGCGCGCGTGGGGCTTCTTCGGCTCCTCTCCTCGCCCTCGGGCCCGACCCCCTTTGGCCCACACGCCCCGCCCCGCACCGCACCGCCCAGCTGTTTGCCACTCCGCACCCGGCGCAGCCCGGACGACCCCACAAGCTCACGGTGCGCGCGCACATGCCGCCCACAAGACCCCACTGCCAGGCGCCCACTGGCCCCATTGTTTCCCTGCGAGGGAATTTACTCAGTAAATCGTTCCTTTACTGAAGATACTTAATTCCTTCCCTACTTTGTATGAAATGTTTCCTCCTTTTTTTGTTTAATTTATTTTTTATTAATTTTCTTTTTTTGTCTTGTGATTTAATTCAATTCCACTAAATTGTGATATTGTATTACGCAATACGGTATTATTACTTTTCACCTCAGTGGCCTAAGAAACAGTTCAGAGAGCGGATTGCCTGAATGGTTAGAGCTACTGGGAGTAATCTTGATGTTTTGGATTGATTCCCGGTCGATGTCCCGATTCTTTGAGCAATTGAAGGCATTAATGTTCCGTTAAAATGAGCATTTGTGTCCCCTAATTTTTCTCGTGACAAACGATGTCTGGCAAGCACCAATGCTCTTAGTTCAAACTTGCAGTGCTATTCAAGGTCAAATTCATCCTGTCCTCATGTTTTGTTTCAGTTCTGACATTTTTGTTAAGCACGTTTTTTTCTAAAATATACGGGCTTATTTTAATTTTTGCCTTTGACATACGCGTATGTTATCTGGGACGAAAATGTGAAGAGAAATTGATAAGTTTGGTTAAAAACACATTTATTCCCTAACAAAAGTTTTGAATGTTCTTCATTACTTAACGAATATATCTAATCAGCTTATTTCGACTTGAATTACTGCATAAATATCCCGTTTCTATCAAATATGCAGACGCGGGAAGTTTCTTTTAAATCAAATTTTCGCAAATCAAATGTGCTGGTTTTCATAACAATCGCCACAATTAGTATTAACAATATATTGGTAAATGTAAAATAATTTCCCACCTACATTTCGTAGCCAAACTAATCAGCAACATTTAAATATTCTATCTTTGTTGTATTATTCTATGTGCATTTCAAAAAGTTCTTGGATCCTGTATTAATACGAAATAAAATCATTCAGCTTTTGTAGAATCATCTAAAAGTGCTTGTACTTTCCTTTGCGTCTTTCTATGAAGGTTATCATATCAACTCTCGTGATATTTTCAATGGCCCAGGAACCACCTTTATTCAATGTTCTCGACTGCCTAGTGTTTCAATGTCGACTGTCTAGTTCTTGATAGATCGTCTCAGTAGCGCAAACCCTTCTCGTACTCAGCTGGCAATTAGAGGCTGCTCCCTCGACGCAGTCCTTTTATGAAGGGAGGTTATTAAATATAGACGTCAGGGTTTCTTCTGAGACTTCTCCGGGTTCCTTTGTCCTCTGAAACAACGCCTGCCTTTCATTTAAAACTCGTCTCTCATTACGTTGTTTATTCTTCAATCTTGTTCCCTATTCACAAGAACTGGCTCCTCGTTGAGAAATAGAACAGTGTTTAATTGCACAAAAGAACATACAGACGTACTAGTTAAGCTGTTATTGCAATAATTTTACTCCTCATTTAGTTGCTCCACATTGTTGCAACCTGTATGAAACGATTTGTCATGCGATTGCAAATGTATTAGATTTGCAATGCTCTTGTAATGGTCAGTTGCAATTGCTGTTTCTCCTTCATTTATTTCTCGTTTGCTTTTAAAACTTTTGAATTTTATCACTCAGTTCAATTCCCCTTATTACACTATTATTAACGTATTACATTTATTCCTCATTCTGACAGTCTTCCGAATGTACGTACTTTTAAAAGGAAAAAGGCAATTCAGTTGATTGCTTTGCAGTACTACTGTTCGTTCCCTGAATTGTCGATGTTTCAGAAGGCAAAAATCTTGATAAAGCACTCTACCCAATTTCTCAGAGTTGGACGTCATGATCACTCTCACGTAAAACTGATAATATAGAGAATGTGAATGAGTAAGTGTGGGTTGGGAACTGATTGAATGATGAAATTTTATTTCTAGAATTTCTTTGATTGCAATGAGTGCTAAGCACACGGTCGTGTGGGATTAGTATCAATAACCTTGCAATTTCCAGACCTTGAGTTGTTCAGCAATGGTCCTCTATTTCTTAGGTGCTATACCTGAGGCTCAATGCCGAATATTTTAGCTCACTTCATTTACACACCATTTAATGATCATCCAAAGAGGCCATCCAAAAAAAAAGTAGCACGCCTTGGGAGAGGGAACTAATGAAAAAATGTGCGCTCTCGCTAGATGTTTGTGTTTAGAGTATGGGCATTTTTGACAATTTTTAATGAATTTCTTTTGTTTACTTCGGGAAGGTGTGTCTGTCTCCGGATGGAAATTTAATTATCTCATGGGGGATGATTTTACAGGGGGAAAAAGCAAAATGTTGTTCTTTTAAAACTCCGTTTAATCTCATTGTGCTATTTTCCGCTTCTTGGGCCCTTGAATGCAGATGAGTGCCCTGTAATTACCATTTCTTTTCTAGGACGTAGTTTCGCGTGAATTGTTCAGTGTAGTACGTGCGTGAAGTAACGTGTATGTGTGCATATGTACCCTTCCAATTGTGTAGTGCCCATGCGACGATCTTTGCCCAGTCACCCCAGCGCCTATTTCGATTGAGTTATTACTGATTCCGGGTGCATCAACAGCTAAGAACGATAGTCCCGTTAGTGTAGTGCGTGTTTTATCTTCGGGAGGTGGCAATGATCTTCCCCCGCTGAATGGCGAAGTATGGCGCTGACCTACACGTCGGCTAGCGGAGTTTTTCCCAACCAGTTATCTCCCTCCAGCGGGACATGGCCCCAGCTGGGACAAGCTCTAAGCTCCCAACTGGTCTCCCGGCATTTGTGGTAGGTTAATGCGTGCGTGTGTGTGTAAGTAAGGCGTGGGGATAGAACAAAGAAGAGAGAAAACAGATCACGTTCCATCCGTTGCCCGTTTTTAGGTACTACTCCGGCTTTCGCCTGGTGTTGATCGGAGCTCACTTCGAGGCACCTTCTCTCCACAACCCCCCGTCTTTTTCGGAATCCCCTCCCTCCGGATTCGGCGTGGTTGTGAAGGCGGGTGCTCTTTCGACTCCTTTTTTGCCGCCCGTCATTAGGGCCGGCGGCAGCCGGGGACGCGGCGTTGCCGAGGCACGTCGTTACCTGGCGGAGGGGGAGGGAGCCCGGGGTGCGTAAGCGCGGATTAATTGCCGCCCCCACCCCCCGAGGGTGGAGGATTGGAAACACGCGCGAGCCGGAAAGCGCAGCGCGGAGGTTTCGACGCGCTCGTTTTTAGGCGCTCTTTTGTTTGGAAACAAAAGGACGGGAGCTTCCCTCCCCTCTCGTCACCCCCGCCCGCGCCCACACACCCGCCTCGCCAAACATCCGCCCGCCACAGCCAACCCACCGCCCAGATTCACACACCCCTCGCCCGCCCCATCCACCTCATACCCCCGCCCCACCACGCCACACACCATACCGACCCTCCGCCCCACACCACGCGCGATCCGCTGCCCGCCCGCCCTCTCCCCCGCAGCAACACCCGCCCGCCCGCCCCTTGCACCCTCCACACCTGCACCCTTCCTCGCTTCTCTGCCCCTCCCGCGCGACGGCTCTTCCGCGGCGCTTGGCAGTGCAGGTTGTGTTTTAAGTCGGCTACCATTATGGTGAGTTATATCGCTGGGCGGTAGGGTAAGAACACGTGTGTTTCGTGAGACACTGAAGTAATGTGGAATGTTTTCTGGCCCAGTAATTGTTTCGAGTTTCATGTGCAGTGTAAAGGGCTTTGTGAAAACGGGTTGAGTAATTAGTAGACACTTGACTCGGTGGGTTGCACTTGATAGCGTGTAAGAAAATATTACCCTCTAGACAGTTCAGGTGAAAGCAAGTTGCCTGTGAAGCAAGTAAATTGTCAGGACATAAAACATAAATCGTTCAGGGTAGTTAGTAGTTTCCTGCCAGGCGTTTTTGATTCGTAGTATGTTTAGTACATTTCAAAACTCCCAGTTTTTTTTCTTGAGGGAGGGGTAACCTTTGTATCGGAGTTTAGTTCTAGTTGATCGTCGACCGAAACAAATCCCAATTGGTGGGCATTTGTTTTTGTGGGAGTGGCTACGATTATATTACAGTAGATACTTGTATTTCATCTATTAATTTGCATTAATTTTCGTAGTGTACTATGATTGTTTTTCTCTGTGTTGATTGAGATTTGTGTGTAATGGCAACAAAATTGAAGTACGTAGTAAAGTTTATAGTATACCATCAACGTGAATCAATAAACATTAATGATATGCATTTCGGTTTTGGATATTAGCATTAAAGCGGCAGATGAGATATAATTTCTCTCCTCATACAAATAATTTTTACGGACTTGAAACTCTGAATGGAAGAGCTATTAATATAGCTTTTAGGGACTTTCATCTTACTCTTATTCTAATTTTTACGAGTAAGTGGCTAGTACAATTAATGTCGAGGAAAGTGAAGATAAGAATCAAGAATGTGATTTGACTAGATTCTTATTCTTTGATGACGTAGGATTCTTCGTTAGCTATAAACTGTTATGGTTACGAACGTACATCCGATCGTTCATGTTCTATTTGCGTAATTTGCGATATTTCCGCAAGTAATGAACTAAGAAGAACTGAAGTAAGAACGGCGTTCTTTTTGATGTTCGAGAAGGGCAGGCGCGGATCCACGGGGAAGGATACGAGGGTAATTTCCCCCCTGAAATGTTTCTCTAACTATTAATTTTAACTTGTTACGGAACTTTCAAGCTAAATATGTCCGGAGAGTCATTAAAACGAATAAAATCGTATCGCAGCGTAGCCTACGACATTTTACAAAATCTGTAATATGACATATTCGTCCAAAACGTTCTGAATTTCCCCTCCCAAAATGTTGTTTCTGAATCCGCCCCTGAGGAGGGAGAATTCGTTCTCGCGAGCTGTCGGCCCGCGCGGGATTCGCGAGAGAACGAAACCCCTGCCCCTCCCCCCAAATTGCATCGCCGTTGCGGCGCCCTATATCGCGGAGCCGCTCGTAATTCTCCGGGCGCTGCAACGGGATCTTCTGGAAACAGTTAATTAAAAGCGAACGACGGCGCATTAATCTTGTCGCGCCGTATTAGCGGAGGGAAGTATAGTACCAAGAAGGCGCCTGTGAAGGGTTCGGAGGAAGGATGCGAGCCACGCGGGAGACCTTCGATGTTGCGCTGGTGGGCTGGGAGAAGCTGTGAGAAATGGT